CCCTGTCAAGTAAGCTTTCATGAGGCTGAGCAGGGCACTACTGCAGAGCTGCTCTCCCTCGTTTCTTATGTAGCAGAAGCGAGCGAGAGCAGCAGCGAAGGACCAGAAGACCTATGAATTTGGCACTTTGGGGAGTGTCAGGTTTCCTACAGGTTTTTAAATGTTATTTCTAGACCCCTCCTAATGGTTCATGGAAATAAATTGGCATATATGTAAGTGACTTATTTACTGCATTAAATGTGTCTAATTTACCTCAGTGTCCAAACAAATAGCACTTCAAGGATCTGCAATAATAATCCAATCTTTATTAAAATCCACAATTTAATATCAATATTTGAATATACACCAACACTGCAAACCCCCAAAACACCAAAATCCTCTAACACGTTTCACTGATATGCTTATTCATAGAGGTGAGTTTGGGAGCACGAGTGGTGTCCTTTTCATTAAAAGAATGCTTCATTCTTCCTGAAAAGTGATGAAAGTAAAAGCAATTGTCTCTGGTATACCTTCATGCCTTTGGAATGTCAGAAAGTAAAGCAAGTGTAAAAAGAGATATATAAATTATTCTACAAAGATTTTCTGAAATAACCTACAGCAAATTTGTTGGTACACCTAGAAAATATAATAAATTGGATCATAGTGATATTTCAAACTAACCATTTTCTGCAATGTCTTTAATTAGTCAGAAAGCTTATTTAAATAGAAAAAAAGTTGTCACTCTGCTCTCTGATATCATGGTGTGCACCACAGAAAACATACACAAGAGAAAGCCAGGCGAAAGTTGACTGAGGAGATCAGAAGGTAAAGTATAGACTGGCGTGTCGAAAGTAAAGGCCATAAGATCATCTTCAAGCAGATTGATGTTCCTGTGACTTGAGTTGCAAATATTAATAAGTTTAGCGTCCAGTACATTGTAGCCAACCCCCCCTGGACATGACTGCAAGAGGAAACTTGACCCCAGATTGGTAGACAAAGAGCTAATGAAAACTTCCAGAGAGGTGCAAGCTGAACTTTAAGGTTAAGGTATATTAGTTTCTGATTGCACCATCCACTGCTTTTGAGCAACAGTGGGTTACAAGAAAACACCTGTTGAAAGAAATTATAAAAAGCCACACTCCCCGGCCAATCAGCATCAAGCCGGCCAAACAGAATGGAGTTGGCTTCCCGGGCAATCAAGAAGTCGAGCGGTGGGTAATGACACGCCACCTAGGTCCCTGATTGCCCGGGAAGCTGGCTCTATGCTACCGGAAGTACCAGTATCGGTACGCGGTATCGGAGAGTACTGAAGTATAAATATCGGTACTCGCAAACCGGTATCGGTGCATCCCTAATTACAACACAACACAATACATTCAAACTAGGAAACAAATATATTAAGATCATTACGTTTTGGCAGCTAGAGTCACAGATTTCACCTACAGGGCCTCTTAAGATATTTGGTAATAAGCATCAAGCTTACGGAAACAGCAACTCTGTAACTTTGTTTACTGAATTGTCTATCTTAAACACCATATTCTGTAAACAATGACATAAGACTCCCACAGTTTACAGAGGGGCTGAAGGAGGGAACCCCATGTTGTTACTGCATGGAAGGAAATATCTTTTGGAAGATGTGGACACTACCATTGCTGAACTCATGAAAATGCTTGTTGCCTCGTCATCTCCAGCTTCCACACTTTGAATCTCTTAACAGGCACAAGCCTAGCGTTAGTAGCTAGAAGGCCTCATTTGTAGGGATGTCCCAAAGCCACTTGTTGAAGACCAAGTACAAGTACTTTGCCTCAGGTACTTGCCGATACCAATTACTGATACTTTTTCTTAAAGGGACGTGTGACATTTTTTCTAAAACAGACTGATTTTAGGGCAGTTTCTCACCAGAGCTAAATACAGATGTCCCCAGAGCTAAATACATGAGTCCGCAGAGCACAACAGATCATAGATCCCATCACAGCACAATGGGGGGAAGGGGGAATACAAAAAAACATACTGTACGGTCGCACGTCTTCTGTCGAACCAGCATGTTTGAAAACCAGCCGAGAATCGTACGATTCACGGCTGGTTAGAACGGTGCTCGGAAGACAAATGCCGAACGGGCCGGTGTGCGCACACTGACCCGTTCAGCATTGCGGTCATCGGAAGCCCGCCCCGGGCTTGCGATGATCGAGAGTGCGATCTGCCTGTCCAAGATAGGCAGATCGTACGTTTTTTTAATCCCTGTACAACCATCGCAAGACTAAGGTCTTGCGATGGTTGTAGAGTGTATGGCCACCTTAAGACATGCCTACACCAGCTCCTTCAAGTTGGATGGGTTTCACTGGTGTGCAGCAATCTTTAATCATGCAATAGATTCTCAATTGGATTGAGATCTGGGCTTTGACTAGGCCATTCCAAGACATATAAATGTTCCCCTTAAACCACTTGAGTGTTGCTTTAGCAATATGCTTAGGCTCTTTGTCCTGCTGGAAGCTGAATCTCCGTCCCAGTCTCAAATCTCTGGCAGACTGAAACAGGTTTACCTTAAGAATTTCCCTGTATTTAGCACCATCCATCATTCCTTAATTTCTGACCAGTTTGCTAGTCCCTGCTGATGAAAAACATCCCCACAGCATGATGCTGCCACCACCACCACCACCACCATGCTTCACCGTGGGGAGGGTGATGTTAGGTCTTCGAAATGCGCCAGACACAACGTTTTCCTTGAAGGCTTATAAGCTTAATTTTGGTCTCATCTGACCAGAGTACCTTCTTCCATGTGTTTGGAGAGTCTCCCACATGCCTTTTAGCAAACTGCAAATGTGTTTGCTTATTTTTGTTCTGTAAGCAATGGCTTTTTTCTGGCCACTGTTCCATGAAGGCCAGCTCTGGTGAGTGTACGGCTTAAAGTGGTCCTATGGACAGATACTCCAGTCTCCACTGTGGAGCTTTGCAGCTCCCCAAGGGGTATCTTTGGTCTCTTTGTTGCCTCTCTGATTAATTACCTCCTTCCCTGGTCCGTGAGGTGTTTTTTTTATGGGCGGCCCTCTCTTGGCAGATTTGTTGTGGTGCTTTCCATTTTTTAATAATGGATTTAATGGTGCGCAGTGGGATGTTCAAAGTTTCATATGTGTGGGTTTTTGAGAACGGGGGTGTGTGTGTGTGTGTGTGTGTGTGTGTATAATA